GTGAATTGCTAAAATTTATTATCTCCATTTATATTTGAATATATTAACCAGAACATTAGAAAGAGAAAAAGTAAAAGAAAGTATTTTTTCAACACAGATTGTTGTTAAATGCAGAAACCACACCCCCCCCCCCCAAAAAAAAAAAAAAAAAAGAAAAATTTAAATCTATGAGAGAAGAGATATAGCAGATACAAAGGAAAAATGATTGGGTAGTGTGTTATCAGCTTTTCATACCTGTCACTGATGCATCTGACAAGAACAATTTAGAGCAGGAAAAAGGTTATCTCATTTCAGGGTTTCTGAGGTTCCATCCATAATTAGCTCACTGCATTGCCCTGGGCTCTTGGTGGGGTTGAACATAAGGGCAGAAGGGTGTAGTTCAAGAAAGCTGCAGAGTTCATGGCTGCCAGGAAACAGAGACTGAGAAAGGTTTGGGGTGCAAGATATAATCCCCCAAAGTAGGCACCCAGTGACCTACTTCTTCCAGCTATACCTACCTGCACTACTTTTACCACCCAGTATTGAATTCAAATTATTAATAAGTCAAGTGGATTAATCCACTGAAAAGGTAAAATATCTTATAATCTAATCATTTCAGCACTGAACATTTCTCCATTGTCTAACATGAACTTTTTATGGGGACACCTCACCTCCAAACTGTAAAGATTGACTGTAAATTCTCAATTATAGCAGTGATGGAAGGCAAAGATTAATTAAAATAATATCTCCAATGCACTGACAGAAAATACACTTGCATATAAAGAGGCTAGGAGTTTGCAGTTGTCATTGCTTGTTAACACTTACTAACATCTGGTGCAGAACCAGGTCTTATAGAAGTGTAACTGGGGATTCTGTCTCAAGATGATACTGATGATATTATATTGAGGCTATTTCATATTCATGGATAGAGCCAACAGCTCAGTTGACCCACTCATGGTCTTCAAATGGTGTCTTTGAACTCCCAAACCCAGAAGCATAGCAAGATCTGACTTTATGCATATCTTTCTTTCCACATCCCGTGTGAAGCTCTCTTAGGCTCAGTCATATTACACAGGTCACTGGCTCACACTTGGCACTGTTTAAACACTACAGTGAGTCTATATCTTTTCTCCATTTAGCACTTTATGTTTCTTTTTTTTCCTGTAAATATTATAATTTGTATGTGTACCTGGATGTGTTTTTCTGCTTTTTGTTTTAATAGTTTATTTATTTTATGGTAATTTTACCACTTTTTGTTATATTTTTAGAGGAATTGTAATGTCATATTGACTGAAATTTTTCTTAGAAAATATTCTTTCTTTATTTAGAAATTTATTTGCTTTGAAGTTCTGGATTCTAGAAGAACTAAAATGAGGTTTCAGCAGAGCCACAGTTTTTCTGAAACCTATGGTGGAAAACTTCTTCTTTGTAGCTTTTGTTGGTGACCACCCCTCCTTGGGACTCCTTGTCTTATAGTTGTATCACTCCACTCTCTGCCTCCTTGTTCACATAGTGTTCTTCCTGTGTATCATATTTTCACAGAGTGATTTTCTTTTCTCAAAAGATCACCAGATATATTGATTAGGGTCCATTCCAATGATTGCATTTTAACTTGATTGCACTTTCATTGACCCTATTTCCAAATAAGATCACATTCACAGGTATCATGTTTTAGGGTTTCAGCATATCTCTTAGGGGACACAACTCAAACAGCATCATATATCTAACTATTTATTAACAAATATTCATCAGGCATTTCCTAGCACTAGTAATTGTTAAATGCTGAGTTCATACTGGTTTTCAAAACACATACCTCTTTGTCTTCATGTTATTGACCATTAAATGAAATCAATATTTAATATATGATATAAGTATGAAATACTAAATTTTTATACAAGATATGAAATAGTAAATTGAAAAATTTGATATTCCTACAAAAGAAAAATAGTCTTACAATAGAGAATTAACATGAGATACCTAAAGTGGTTGGATAGAGTAATCAGAGAAGATTTTGCTGTTCCTTGATATTTAAATGGATATCTCAGCAAGGAAATAGAACCAGCTTTTGAAAAACTGAGGAAAAATGATTCTTGATTAAGCACAGGCCTATGCCCAAAATCAGAGGCAGAAAAACATTCTTGAAATTAATTAACAAAATATAAATATTACTCATAAAGTATAAAAATTATTTGTGATAAGAGATAAAGGGCATGCATCAGATCATCAAAGATCCTATTGTCTATACTAGAGTGTGAAACCTTGGAATCATTTCAAGAAAGACAGGGTCTTGGGCTGGGGTATAGTTCAGTGGGAGAGCACTTGCCTAGCATTTCTGAGGCCTTTAGTTTCATTACCATTACTAAAGAGGAAAGGGGAAGAAGTGCATGGTATTGTAAAGATTTACACTAAAAACAATCATTTGATAACTGGATTGCGGGATTCTGATTATTAAATGACTTTCATAGGTTCAGTTTTTGTAAAGCATGTGTTTTAAAATTAGGTAGTTTTGGCATTCAGGATATATATTAGGGATCCACTCCACTACTTTTCAAGAGAGGGAAATCAAATTGAGATTAATCCAACTGAAACTCTGCAAACCTTGTGGGGAACTTGGCTGCACGTATGGTGATGGGCCATCATGTCTGAACCTTGAGAGCCTCTCAAATAATTTGTCATTCCATGTGGGTTGTTCCAGTGAGAGTGCACTCTCTGCAAGGTGATTCTGCAGTTCAGATAAACCCTAATGAGCTGACAGGCCATGGAGAGCATGCTTAGTAGGTGGAAAGCAAAGTTTTTCATGAAAAGTATTCTGGGTGACAAATTTCCATGTCCACTACTGGAATATGAAGATTTGAAAAATACTAATAAGTTGCATGCTATTGAACCTAAACCAATTAAAAAAATCATGCAGAGTTAAGATAGAACACTTGCTCTAATACCAATAAAGCCATGCCAATTAATTTGTTTGCTTTGTGACCAAATGTGTTTTTAAAAATTTATATAATAATTGGACTTATATACACTCACCAAAAGTAAGACCCTATCAACAAAACGAGTGGTAGAGAACATGATAGTAATTTCTTTACAATAATTTTGAAAGAGGTAAAAAAAATGGCAGAATTTCCCATATCTTCATAGATTAAGAGAATAGTTGTATAATGCAGAAGTTATTGCAATTTTACTTACATCTTATTGTGAAATACTTATATACATAGTGAGACTGGCTTTCCAGTAGTGACATGGATAGTGGTGGTGTAAGGCAGATTGCAGAACTGTGTTTTTTTTACATAAGAAATATTGGAAGAAAATGAGACAATTCATTACTAGGAAAGTGAGTATAAGGGTAAAGTCCTCTTCAATAATTTTGATGTACCAAGGTTAACAGAGGGTTTTCAATTGTTTGTTTATATGCATAAGAATTTAGGTTCCTGTGAGCAAAAGTATGGTAACTCAAAGTTCTCTCGCATTCCTGATGTCAGTAGATCAAGGAAATCACAATTTCCATGTAAGAATTCATCTGATTCTAACTTCTTTAGGAAAACTCATTTCTGATTCCAGGTTATTCTCCAGAATCAATTACATTCATTAATTATTATCTTATAATATTGTTCCCTCAAGAAGCATTTCTAGCATTTAGTCATGAATAAGATTCAGTGCCTTAACTGAAAGAGCTCACAGTATTTAAGCATTTTAGCATTGAATTTTCTCCTTCTACTTTCTTAATACCTGATTTTAGGCAGAATTAAATTGTGAGGAATTGAGAGTCATATTAAATTACAAATCTCATTGTTATTTAGGGTTTCTAGGATTTTTCTCTTGGTTCCATTTTTTTTTTTTAATTCAGCATTTCATGGGTTATCCCATTGATTTCCAGGTTTCAACCACCTTCTTCAGGCTGATAATTTCCAAATTTTCAGCTTAGCATTAATTCCTGAGATTCACTTAGATATAAATATCTCTAGCTGGAAATGTAGCATATATCAACATTGTACAACCTCATTTTTCTCTGATGTAGTGTGCATCTTTGTCTTTCATCTCCTACTTTACCTCATCATTGATTCCTCAATGAACTGTTACCACATCCATTAATAAAGACTATTTCATTAGTTAAATATAAGTAATATGTGAAGGTTTTCCCATTGTCCTCCATTTTGTATTGCTTTGTTGGCTTTTACTCAATGGCTAAAATTTATCTACCTCTGAAAAACAGGTCTAAATATATTCTCTTTTTCCAAGCTTTCTAATCTAAATTACTGCAATGTAGCTAAATGATCTTATGAAAAAAAAATGAATATGATATTGTATTTCTGATTTAAATTCAACAGGGTTTCTTTAAATATCTTTGAAAACACATTCTGCCTTCTTTTATGGCCCACAGGATTTTCCTTAAATGCTTATCATTTTTAATATGCTTACTAGAACTTAGTCTACCATTTGATAGACTAATGAATCTAGTTCTCCTTGCTCCCTCTCTTGAGGTTAGACCTTATTTGTTCTTTATTTTGAAAGATCCAGTGCCTACATGAGATGTTAAAAGAATACATAAGAAAGTAGGAGGGAGAAGAATGAGTGGAGCTGATGACCAAAACTACTACATTTTGATGAAGATCATAAAGAATGCGTTCTTCCTAAAAACAACTGGTTCCTATCACTAAGGGGATAGATATCACATTTAGATTGGCTCTTTAGTAGTGATATGGATACTGGTGGTATAGGATAAATTGCAGACTGAAAAAAAACTCAGCAGCATAAAAATGTTCAATATTTTTTTCACTATTTTAGTAAAATTTTTGTGGTATATAAACCTAGCAAAAATAGTATTTTTTTTCTTATTTAAAATGGGTCATACCCAAGTGTCCTTCATCCTGTATGAAGTGAAGACTTAATAGATGACACTTTCACTGTATTTGTCATGAAATTTCTTCCAAGTGTTTAACATTACAGATCTTTGGATTTAAACAAGTTATGTGAAGAAAATAACTAAATATTCTTCTAAAATTAAAAGAAAGCTTAATTAACAGAATGAAACATTCTTTGGAGTTGTATTTTCTGTAGCCATTTCTGCTATTTTGGCAAAGACTTCATTGTGTTTGTGGCCTTCAAAACTGTCACCCCATGGAGAAAATTTCAAATGTGGATGGTGACCCGATTCTCCAATGCCATAGTCTTCAGTGGCTCCTTCATTCAAGTGTGCATCTGCACAATCTGGTTGGGAACTTCTCCCCCTTTCCCTGACATGGATGCACAGTCAGAATTTGGCCAAATCATCATGCAGTGTAATGAGGGATCCACAGCTGCCTTCTACTGTGTTCTGGGTTACTTGGGTTTTCTGTCACTTCTCAGCTTGATTATTGCTTTTCTGGTCAGGAGACTACCAGATAGTTTCAATGAGGCAAAACTGATCACATTCAGCATGCTGGTCTTCTGTAGTGTGTGGGTTTGTTTCATACCCACCTACCTGAGCACCAAGAGCAAAAACATGGTGGCTTTGGAAACTTTTTCAATTGTGGCTTTCATTGCTGGCTTGTGGTATTGTATATTTCTTCCCAAGTGCTATGTGATTTTACTGAGAGCAGATAACATTTCAAGGAAAAAAAATTGAACAATTTCTTCCCAAAGACAAAGAAATTAATTTTCAGATGACATGATTGATATAAAGTGAGCTATAGTGTGGAAATAAAGTTTCTAAAGTGTGCATGAAGTGAATTCATGTCATTATAACTTGACAATTACTATTTAATCACATGTCCCTTTCATCATTGTGGTTACCAAATTTCAATGAAAAGAATCTCTTTTTTTTTTTCAGATAGACAAATGTTTAAATTCCAACCCCCTGATGACTATGATGTTCAGCATGTATCTTAAACTTTTTTTAGTTGGTTTTCTCATCTTTAAACAGCAACAGCAGGTCTAACAAATTATTTATGTCAGAATTAAATAAAATGATTCATTTGAAAACATGGGTGCTCAACAATATGCTTTCTTTTTGTGTGTCTTACTTAAGCTGTTATCCCACCTAGAGGGGCGAGTTCCCTCTACCTTGGCTGCTGTAGTATATGAGCTCCCACTGACACCCAGGTGAAAGTGGTCTCCCGCCTGGAGAGGAGAGTACCCTCTACCCTGGCTGTAGCAGTATACCAGCTCCCCCCATAACCAAGTGGGAGGTGTCTCACTCATCTAGGGTCCAGTCCCCTGTACCCTGGCTGCTGCAGTATATGAGTTCCCCCTGACACCCTGATGGGAGGGATCTCCCACCTGAAGTGAAAAGTACCCTCTAAGCTGGTTGCAGCGGTAGGAGAGCTCCCCCTGACACTCAAGTGGAGGGTCTCCTACAGTGGAGGGGCGAGCCTCCTGTATCCTGGCTGTGGAGTTATATATGAGTTCCACCAGACATCCAGGGGAAAGGGTCTCCCACCTGGAGGGCCGAGTCCATGTTACCCTGGCTGCTGCGGTATATGATTCTCTCTCCATGACTGACTCCCAGATGGGAGAGGTCTCTTGTCAGGAGGGGCGAGTCCCCTCAACCTAGGCTGCAGAGGGATATGAGCTCCCCTTGGACACCCAGGTGAAAGGGGTCTCTTGCCTGGAGGGGCGAGTTCCTGCTACTCTGGCTGCAGCTTTATAGGAGCCCCCACACACAGCACCCAGGTGGGAGGGGTCTCCTGCCCTGAGGGGCAAGTCCCCTCTACCCTGGCTGTGGCCCTTTTGAGCTCCCTTCAACACCCAGGTGGGAGGGGTCTTCCGCCTGGAGGGGCCAGTACCCTCTTCCTTGGCTTTGAGATTATAAGAGCTCCCCCCAACACCCTGGTGAGAGGGGTCTTCCGCTTGGAGAGGCGAGTCCCCTCTACCCTGCCTGCACCTGTATAGGAGCTCCCCAAAGCACCCAAGTGAAAGGGGTCACCATCTGGAGGGTAGAGTTCCCTCTACCCCCACTGCGGCGGTATAGGAGGTCCCCCCACACCCAGGTAGGAAGGGTCTCCCGCATAGAGAGACAAGTCCCCTTTACCATGGTTGCAGCATTATAGGAGCTCCCCCACCAACACCCAGTTGGGAGGGGTTTTCCGCCTGGAATGGCAAGTCCCCTCTAACTTGGCTAGGGAGATATAGGATCCATCCCACCCAACAACCAGGTGTGAGGGGTCTCCCTCCTGGAGGGGTGATGCCCTCTACCATGGCTGCTGTGTCATATGAGCTCCCGCTGACACCCAGGTCAAAGGGGTCTCCCGCCTGGAGGGGCAAGTCAGCTCTACCCTGGCTGCAGCAGTATAGGAACTCCCCACTGGATACCCAAGTGGGAAGGGTCTCATACATGGAGGGGAGAGTCCCCTCTACCCTGGCTGCTATGGTATATGAGTTCCCCCTGACACTCTGATGTGAGGGATCTCCAGCCTGAAGAGAAAAGTAGCCTGTAAGTTGGTTGCAGCGATAGGAGAGCTTCTCCTGACACACAGGTGTGAGGAGTCTCCTGCCTGGAGAGGCAAGTCCCCACTACGCTGCCTGAGGCTCTATAGGAGTTCCGCTGGAACCCAGGTGGAAGGTGTCTCATGCCTGGAGGGGCGAATCCCCTCTACCCTTGATGCAGCGGTATAAAAGCTCCCTCTGACATCCAGGTGGGAGGGGTCTCTCGCCTTGAGGAGCGAGTCCACTCTACCCTGGCTGCAGCGGTAAAGGAGCTCCCCTGACACCCAGGTGGGAGGGTCTCCCACTTGAAGGGGTGAGTCCCCTGTACCCTGGCTATGGAGGTATATGAGTTCCACCAGATACCCAGGTGAAAGGGATCTCTTGCCTGAAGGGGAAAGTCCAAGTCCATGCTACCCTGGCTGCAGTGGTATATAAGCCCTGCCACCAAGACACCCAGGTGGGAGGGGTCTTCCAACTGGAGGGGTGAGTCTCCTCTACCCTGGCTGCAGCAGGATATGAGCTCCCCATGACACCCAGATGAAAGGGGTCTCCCTCCTGGAGGGGTGAGTCCTTGCTACCCTGGCTGCATCATAATAGGAGCTCCCCAATCACCACCCAGGTGGGAGGGGTCTCCTGCCCTGAGGGGCTAGTCCCATCTACCTTAGCTGTGGCTATTTTAGCTCCCTTCAGCACTCAGGTGGGAGGGGTCTCCTGCCTGGAGGGGCGACTTTGCTTGTCCTTGGCTTCCAGGGTATAAGAGCTCCAGCAGACACCTGGTGGGAAGGTCTCCAGCCTGAAGGGCCCAGACCCCTCTTCCTTGGCTTGGAGAATATAAGACTTCTCCCGGACTCCCTGGTAAGAGGGGTCTACAGCCTGGAGGGGCGAGTTCCCTCTACCATGGTTGTTGTGGTATATGAGCTCCCTCTCTCCCCTCCCTATTCTCCAAAGCCCTGACAGGGCTCTGGAATGTGTCTCTCCTTTCCTGGGACTGGCTTCTTACTTGAGCCCTTCTTGAGGACCCTGTTCCTGTCCCTGTCACTTGATTTCAGGCCCCTTGCTCATGCCCTCTCCTGTGACTACCCTCTATTCCCCTTGTGCTGTGGTATTTTGGCACAGCTCAGACCCTCTACTACCCCTGATTGTCCCTAGCCATGGATCTTCCAATAGGTCCTGGCTCCCAACCCACCCAGCCACTCCTGCTCCCACTTCCAGAACCAGGGTTTCCACACACAGTGCCCTCCTTTGGCCCTCCTTTGGTCCTGGTCCTACTCTGAGGATCTACTCACCTGAGGCAGAGGAGTGGAATTGGCTGGTCTCTGCGCCCTGAAGGCTCCCTATGGGAAACACAGCCCTGCCCCTCACCTGGTCACCCTTCTGCTGCCAGAAAACAGACACCTGGCCTTGGTTGTGGGCCTTGAGCTGACCTTGGCCTTCGAGATCCCCTCCCTTCCCTCCCCTGCCCTCTCCCCTTGCATGCTTCCCTTACCCCAACCCAGTCCTCCCTAATCCTGACACTTTGTGCCCCAGTCCCTGGGCCTGTCTCCTCACCTGGGTCCCTAACCACATTTGTTGTGTCTCATGCTGTAGCGTGCGTGCGTTGTGTGGTGTTGCGTGGCTTTGCTTCCTGTCGGGTCGGACCCGGGTGCCCCTTGCTTGGGGCCCCTACCACGCTCCCCTTGGTGCCCCTTGCCCCGCCTGCTGTCTCCTCATCCTCACGTCACCCCTTCCTCCTGTTCCCAGCTTTCCTCTCGCAAGGTCCCCTTGCTCCTTGGGTCCCTCATCATCCTAGGTCAGGTCAGTCCCTAGCCTTGGCTCCTTGTTCAGGTCCTGGCTCTCTCCCCTCTCTGCACCCACTGTGACCCTGCCCCGAGCCCTCCCGTCCCCTCCTCCTGGTCCCCGTCCCTTGCCAGGCCCCCTTTGCCAGGTCCCTGGCCCAACATTCTCATCTGGGCCAGGGCGCCTTATGGGAAACAGAACCCTGTCCCTCGCCTGGGCCCCTTGCTTCCCTGGGTGCTTGGAACTGCACCTGGAACCCAGACACCTGGCAGTGGCCCTGGGCCTTGATCCTGCTAGACCCTGCTGGATCCCCTGCCTTCCTTCCTGAGCCTTGTCCACTGTCCTGATCCCCCTCCCCCAGTCCCAGCCCTTGGCTCTCCATTCCCTGGCCTGGCTCCTCCCTTGAGCCTCTGGTGGCCTTTGTTGCCCAGCTAAACCATGGGCATTTACTACGGGCCCCATACTTGGGCCACATCCCTGCTCCCCTTGGTGTCCCTGCACTGTAGTCCACTAGTGCAATCTGCTTGACTGGCCCCTCTCTCCCCTGGTCTCCCCTGGGGTGGACCCTCCTCTAGGTCACTAGCCTGGGCTGCTTGCTGGGGTCCTGGGCCCCACCCCACCAGCACCCATTCTCCGACCCTTCACCTATGCCATTCTTTGGCCCTCCTTTTGTCCCTGCCCCTGCCAGGCCCCCTTTCCTGATCCCTTTCCCAGGATGTGCACCAGGCCAGGGGACTAGACCTGGCCCCCTTGGCCCTCCTCCTCCCTAGGGGAAAACGTAGCCCTTCCCCTTGCCTGGGCTCTTTGGCCTCCCTCAGCCCAGACCCTGCTCTCCAAACCTGACACCCTGCAGTGGACCTGGGCCTTGAGCCTTCCTCCCCTGAGGCACCCACTCCCCTCTCTCTTCTGCCTTCCCTCCCCAGCCCTGCTGGGGCCCTGGCACGTGGCTCTCCATTCCTGGGCCTGGCTCCTTGCTTGAGGCCCAGGCCGCCCTACTCCAGGACCTTGTCCCTGTCCCTGTCCCTTGAAATCAGGCCCTTGTTCGTGTCCCCTCCTGTGCCTCCCCTCATTTCCTCTTGTGCTGTGGTATCCTGGCACTTCCTGGACACTCCCAACCTTCTGCTTCTTTCTATCCAGGGTTTCTCTAATGGGTACTGGCTCCCCATGCATGCAGATGCCCCCGCCTCTTCTTCAGGACCCAGGGTTTCCCCTCACAGTGCCCTCCTTTGGCCCTCCTTTTTCCAGGTCCCTCTCTGAGGATCAATTCACCTGGAGTAGAAGAGTGGAATTGACTGGCCTCTGCATCCTGAAGTTTTCCTATGGGAAACACTGCACTGCCCCTCACCTGGGCCCCCTTCGCTGCCTGAATCCTGACACCTGGAAGTAAATGTGGGTCTTGTGCAGATATTGGCCTGCACAATCCCC